GGAGAAGCATCAACATGCAGCTGGAAATCTGAAGGGTCTGGAGAGATTCAGTATGAAGGAATGGTCTCTGATCTCCTGTCAGATGTTCTCTAAACTCTTCAGGCATGATAGGTGAAGACTCAGAGCTGTTCTCTTGACAAAAGGAGGTTGTAAAAAGTATTGGATAAAAGGGTATGATTAATTGTGACCAATGTGTTTTAGAGAAAAACATTTATTTCATAATGAGATTTCTCTCCCAATTTAAATTCTTATTCTCCAATGAAAGGTTAGATTTGAGTAAATTTTTAAAATAAAATATCTAAATGACTGATGATAAAGATAAATTTTCACAGCCTTCTTTGGTCATATTTACCAAGGGTATGAATAATTTTGAGCACAACTGTAATATATATATAAATATATAATATATATATATACACATACATACACACAGTATAAACATATATAATAAATACATACATATGTAATAAATATATGAATTGTATATATATATATATATACACACACACAGTATATACATACATATATCATAAATATGCATATAAATATATATATACATACAGTGTATGTGTGTGTAAGTGTGTGTTACTGTTAATATACTTTTTTATTTTGTTATTTGGAACTGAACTAGCATTAACTAACAATGAACAACTGTATTTTTTAAAGCTAACATTAGCAAGGATTAATATACACTATAACAAATGCATTGCTCATTGTAAGTTATTGTTAGTTAATTTATTGTGGACATTATCGAGAAGTGTATCTTGTTTCATACATCATCAGACTCCTCAAGTTAAAAGGGTTGCAAATACTGTTTCATGTTGACTTTGAGACTGAGATTTTATTCGCCACACAATAGAACTTAAAACAAAAAGGAAAAACAGGTGAATGAAAAAGGAAACCACATGATTTATAGCCAGGAAAGCACATGATTTATAGCCAGGAAAGGTGAAATGCTCTGATAAAGATGTGGTTGCTTCAGTTTGAGTCTGCGAAACCTGCTTAGGAAAGCTGCTTGTCTGTCCTCAGCCGTGCCTGGCACGCAGGGGTCACGACCTGGTCATGAATCGCTTCAATCAGCTCCTAGCTGGGACAGGAGGGGAGGGGAGGGGAGCCGCGAGCGCTTTTGATCTCGGTTGGCTAGTCAAGCAGCATGGGTAAGATATCCTGCAGGTCGGGCTCTGTGGGAGCGGGGCTGAGGGCAGGTCAAGAGCACTGTTCTATTTTTGGCTTCACTCCCATTCTGACCCGGTTGAGCTACCGTAGCTTCCAGTATTGCCTCAGACATGTTGGGTTAGAAGAATGCTCTGATATGAGGTGGAAGATTTGGAAGGCGTCCAATTATAGATCTAGACCAGGGGTGTCAAACTCAGCTCCTGGAGGGCCATTGTCCTGCAGAACTCCAATATACCTGCCTGGAAATTTCTAGCACTTCTAAATGCCTTCATGAGCTGGATCAGGTGTATTTAATTAGGTTTGAAGCTAAACTATGCAGGACAGTGGCCCTAACTTGGTCAATGTAGCGCATAGGAAAGACCACATGGAACTGCTGGACGAGGACAATTCTCTTATTTACTATTGTTAATGAAAGCCGGTAGTGTACGGAGGAGGTTACATTCTCATTCTAAGAAGCATTTGATTGAAAAAAAATTTGTTAATGCCAATGAGTCAGCAATATTTCAATCTATTTTCCAAGAATAGAAAACTCTACATTTTTTTAAAATTGTGTAAAAAGTTATATTTGTTAACCTTTATCCTTTATAAGAACTGGCATGTATATTTTGTAAATATATTGACTGTATATATATGCCGTCAAATGATTAACCGCTATTAATCACATCCAAAATAAAAGTTTACATTATACGTACAGTGGGGAAAAAAAGTATTTAGTCAGCCACCAATTGTGCAAGTTCTCCCACTTAAAAAGATGAGAGAGGCCTGTAATTTTCATCATAGGTATACCTCAACTATGAGAGACAAAAAAATCCAGAAAATCACATTGTAGGATTTTTAAAGGTGTGTGTGTACTCTGTATATATAAATACATACGCATATATTTTGAAAATATTTACATGTATTTACATATGTATATATATTTATATATAAAATATATTTAAAATCAATTTCAAAAGATTGTTTAGCGATTAATACTTTTATACAGCAAGGATGCATTAAATTGATCAAAAGCAATAGTAAAGACATTTGTTACAAAAAAATTATATTTAAAATAAATGCTATTCTTTTGAATTCACCAAAAGAAACAAAATTACTTTAAAAAACCAATAAATAACACAACTGTTTTCAACATTGATAATAATAAGAAATGATTTCTGAAGGATCATGTGACATTGAAGACTGAAGTAATAGCTGCTGAATAGCTGCTGTGCCATCACAGGAAAAAAAACATAGTAAAATATATTAAAATAGAAAACATTTGCTTAAACATGCATTTAAACTGCAGTGTGTTGTAATATACAATATATGTAATATAGATTGTTTTTACTGTACTTTTTTTTTTTTTACCAAACCTTTGAACAGTCCTGAATTTAGGGCTAGTATGACTAGGACCAGCATCCACAAACACCAAATTTTTAAATCACAGGGTCTTTCATCTGTAAAGGAAGTTGGTCATTAATGTAAGATTCACTTTTGAAAACATAACTTGGCACAGTTCATATTTATCTATCCTCTGGTACAATATGCCGGCTTATGTCATGGATACACGATACATGAACAAGCTCAGAAGATGAGCTTCATACTGGAATCAGTGTGTGGTCTTATTCACTGAAGCTTACTCTTCCATTCACAGTGTCTCTTGACAGTAGAGGCTTTTTAGCTCTGGATATCGTCAAGCATTAAGTGGCTGAGAGTAATGGGATACATTCTGGGCATGCGGCAGAAGACCAGCACTTTAGCAGAGGTGAAACCAGGACAATGAGAGGCGTTCCTCAGTGCTGTGTTTACATTTACACCACACCTGCTTCCTCCGCACAACTCTGAATATCACAGCACTCCCTCTCAGAGCCCTAAGGAGAAGTCCGGGAGTTCAATTTTTTTGACAGGAGAGTCCAATATAAGCATTTTCTAGAGATAAATGTCTGAGAATCCAAGTGAAATAAACTCTTGCAAACTCAATTTATCATGTGCAATGTTTAATACAACACAGCCCGGTTTATAATGCACGGATCAGACTTATCCAAAGGAAGAACCATTTTTCTTTATTCTTGTAGGCTTTTATTAGCAAATTAAGTCTCCAAGTAAATGACTATAAATGAGATTCAGAAAATGCTCATTGATTGCTTGGGATGAATTGTTGTGCAGGTAATTTGCCTGTTCATATTATTAAATTATGACTGCTTTATGCCATTATCATTGTCTAATCATGTTGGTTCTGCACTGCAAGCTGCAAAACTATAAAAGTGCAATAACATACCGAGCAGAGCTACTTTGGGAACACTTTGAGGATTTTGGTGCCACCTACAGTCCAATGACATAGTTAAATCAGAACCTCTTCCTTGTTAAACCAACTGACAAACTTACAGGTTATATAAACCAATAAAATGAGATGACACATAACAAGAATAAAGCAATAAGCCCCAAGAAGCCGTGGTTTACAGTGAATTTATAACAGCTAAGGGGCGTTGTTAGGCATGACGCGAAGCGGAACGGTTATTCCATATACGTAGAAAGGTTTCACAAAATAAAACAGAGCAAATAAAGTGTAATGATATAAATAAAAACAGTATTCTTCCACCAAACAATGTAGTTCCTCAGAAACAGTTGTGGTTCCAACAAAGTGGTTGCCGAGTAAACACACAGAAGTATACAAAGGTGTAGGCCTATGTTTGTAGTGTAATTTATCAACCGCTTCGAACAATCAGAATCAAGGACCGGAACTATCCGTTTTATAATACTAAACATACTTAAAGGTGCTGTATGTAGGATTGACACCGAGTGGTTGAACAAGGTATTGGAGAGGGGTTTTTTTCACCCGGCCCCTCCTCCTCAGACTTGACGCAGCGTAGGTTGCCAGATTGACGACACCAACAGGAAGGAGCGCACTTGACGATTAATTAAATGAAATACGCTCTGTTTTCCGCCAACTGGCAACCCGGGGTGACGAAATGCAATTGGGTAAACTGGCAGTGGGCGGGTTTCACAAAACCAAAACAGACCGACATTCCGGCCCGGAACGCACATTTTCAAAGAAGAATAACTTGATTGTAGCATTGTTTTTCAGATAAACAAGTATGTTAACTTAGCATGTTTCTTAAATATCTGCAAACATATTATGGTATTTTTATGCTTTAGTAGAGTCAAAAACTTACATACAGCACCTTTAAATCTCATCTTACTCGTGTATTTAAAGCTGGCTCTGTAATACAAGGTATGAGGAAAAAAGTATGATGAAATTCCTATTACTGGCAAAGCTTTCTCAAGAGACTTCAGGGAAAGTGACTGATCTGTCTACATCCTGCCATTAAAAATATCACATGATTTTTAGGAATAAGGGAAATCAAAAAGTGAAGTAAATTCTATCCCTTCTGATAATAAGCATCAACTTATAAATGTAATGCGTTTCTTCAACTACTGGGCATTTTTTTAATACTAAAAATAAAGTTGTTTAAACTTTACTTTATACACTTTTTTTAATCTGTCCAACAGTAAATGTCTATCCATCACAAGAACAAAACAACATCTTCTTTGTATGCTATAAGGCTCAATTCAAAGGTAGTATTTTATTCACACTAAATACACAGGATTAAATGTTCACACTTTTTTTTTTTTGCAAAATTACAGCTTGAAATGATGCACAATAAAAATATTCTCTTACATAGATTTTACAGTATGTCATCTCGAGGATGTTCCTCACGGACACAGTTATCTTCTTGGTAAACATGTATCAAGGAAATGACACCAGAGCAGTGATTGTTTTTATATATCCAAAAGCAAGGCCATAAAAGTAAAATGGTGAACAACTACCCTTCTATAGCATTATGTGTGAAATTAACAAAATAAGCTTGGTACTAAATCAACTGAAACAAGAAGTCATCTAGAAAAATTCAAAAATAATTTGTGCTGCTGAGAGATTAATTTAACAGAGTAATGAGAGATTGTGTATCGATATCAATATCAGCACCGCCTTATTTCATACAGAATAGAAAACAAGTGCCAATACTTTGAGTTTAATTGAGTTTAATATCTTATAAGGGACAAAGAAATAGAGGCCAGTAAAATTTGCTTTTAAAACATTTAACAACTAGAGCACAAAAACAAGAAAATAGAACTACGACATTGACAAAGATCTTGGTTAGTTTTGTCTTGAATAAAAAGTCTATAACTTTGCACACTGTAATTAATATTTTAATAATTATTACTGTTGTTTATTGTTGAGGCTGCTGGCATTTTTAAAAGTCATTTTACAATTAACAGGACAAATAACTTCCTCAAGTCTAAAGAAAACTTGAGCACTAAAGACATCCTATACTCTCACTTCCCATCACATCATCTCAAGTGATCTAGACATCACATGATCCACCAGACTCTCCACATGTACCTTAGTGTCCGGTCTTCGAGCACTGTTTGACTGAGGAGCCCAGTTTATCCGCAAGAAGGAACGGGCTAAGGTGGCAATACTGGAAAAATAAAAGCTAAAGTGAAAACCTTATCAAAAGAATAAATAAGATATGAACACAGCACATCACATTTACCTGTGGAGTACTGCTCTGGTTCAGACCTGTAGTTTCTAACATTGAAATATTGAAGTCCGTAGAGAAACGGGTGTTCTGGAGAATGGCAGCCATCTCAGCACCCACCTCCACTGGAACATTGGTCTGGAATAGAATTAACAGAATTGACCAACGAATAAGTCATATTAACATATTTAAAATTCATAAATAAATAAAAAATTAGTTTACCTTAAAGTAATGAGAGGCATCAAACTCAAAACATTCAGCACAGTCAGGCACGGTGCCTTTATAGGTCACAAGCGCTTTGGTCTTGATGGAGTTTTGAGGTATTTTAAAGATCCGGTAAGTTCCAGATGCATATTTAACATCACCTATAGTGGCATATTGTAGGTCAAAGCACCACTAATTAAACACATCTGCTTGCCTCCAAGTCACAGAAAAGCACATGAAAACAAATGTGGTTCAGCAATAATGCTGTTTCAATACACAAATCAGAGGGTAACAGTTACCAGTCTTTCTTTGAAGTTCTGGGTTGTGGACCACAATGTGACTGCCTGCAACCAGGTGGGGAGTGCTGAAGCCTATGTCCTTCATCAGAGTGATGAGATCCCGCCAGTAGAGGGCGCCGGCCATGCCCTCACCTGATAAGAACAAGCACTCCCCTAAATCCACCTACTCTTAATTCAATTTTGGATTGATGATACACATTTTATATATGTTATTGAAGGGTGCATTTCTGTTTGGAAAACATTTCTTTGTGTGAACCAGGGTTATTATAATGAACTAAAAACATTAAAACCATCTGAAACAAAATGAATGTTGACTGAAGTAAAATAAAACATTTAAAAATTCATATTTTATTACAGCTAAAGTGTCATTTTCATTTAGTTTAACTTGACGTACTAAAATAACTTAAATCGGTATTTTTGAAAATTATATAGGCATTAAAAGACGATCTAACAAATTACAAAAAAAAAAAAATGAAAATGGAAAATAGAAATTAATTATTAATATTAATAAAAGTACTATATTTACTATAATTGTAATAAAAGTTAATACAATATATAATAGTATCTCAATTATACTAAAATAAGACTGGTGTGAACGCAGCGAGAACAAATTTTGGCATAATTTTGTCTTTTTTCCCTAAGTCTTAACTCTAATCATCCCCATAAATGAATGTAGTGTAGCAAGGTCTACATTTCTAAAATGCATTACATGAAAAAACGTTTACCCCACAGAACTGGATCTTCTTTGAAAGAGTCTGGAACTGCTTTGCTTGCATACATGTCACTATAGTACAACTCTCCACCCTCCTATGAGGCCATTCACATATGAAACAGTGTTTGCAAAGTGCACAATTTTGTAAATCTTTTTCTTGCATAAATACAATAGTGAGGGGAAATGATAGGTATGTGATGGAAATATCTCACCTTCAAAACTTTGTAAGCTTCACTTATCACAGTCCTCTTATCTGGGCACAGACATATCACACAGTTTGACCTAGAGAAAATAATTGGCCTTTTTGTAAACAAAATAAATAAATAAACTTTTGCTCAGGCAGGTTATAATTTATGGAAAATGTCATAAATGACCTAAGGATGTGCATACACAACTACATCCAAAGAGTTGTTCTGTATCCCTGCATCACTGAGCTTCTCCATGTATCCTTTCACAAACACCGTGTTTGGTTTTGAGTATCCAAACTTCTCCTGATGGTACTGGACATATTTTTGCGAGGCAACTATCTAATTTTGGAGCAAACACAAAGGTTCATGGTTGCACTTCCTTAACACTTATTCATATGATTATATAAGCTTATTTAACATTTTTCAGATCTTTTGTTGTTTAACTTTCACAAAATAGGTTAAAATCAATCTGTAAAGTACCATCACATCAGTCATATCCAGCCCAATGACTTGGCCTCTCTCCCCCACCAGTTTGCTGAAGACGTAGCAGTCTCTGCCTGATCCACTGCCCAGATCAAGAACCGCACATCCTTCCAGCTTCTCTGGAATCACCAGCCCACAGCCAAAATACCTGCAGATTACATCATTAATTCACTACTAACACAAATCAGACAAATCTAAAGTTATGAGACATAATCTCAATAAAGCTGTACCTCTTGCAAACATCTGGGTGGACTTGTTTCAGGGCCTCACATGCACTCTTGGGCAGAGTTCTGGAGGGCATGGAACACGCAGCATTGGTCTGTAAGTCATCTGAAGTCTCCAGCCGAGAGCCATAATAATTCTGTAAGTATTAAAGAATGAGCTTTGCAAAGAAATGTTGTGGTGGCCTAAAAGAAATGCTAAAGCCCATTTATACTGAAAGCTTAAGCATAAATGTGACCAAGGTAGAACACTCCAATAAGGGACATTACATGCTTGCAGTGTACACTAGGGGATTACGTTTTTGCTAGTTGACATTTAAATACATGCAAATGTTCATAAATAATATACGAAATAATTAATAATATTTATACATTTGCGCGTATATATTTCTCTAATCCGAGGGGGAAAGTACAGAAACCAATATTGCTCAGTTCATCAAGAATGAAACAGCAATTATCTAAATAAACTTAAAACGTCTGCGTTAATCCGTATCAAGTGATCCAATGGAGGTTGCTTGACCTCTTGTCATTTGCATAAATAAATAATCAAACATGCATCTATGGTATTTAATGAGGAACATTATTGAGACATCTAAAGTGGTATCAAACATTTCTGTTTCATGTGACTGCCATGTAAAAATGTTCACATGAAATCAAAACAATATGACCTTCAGTTATAGTGTACAACTCTGCATGAAATACATCAACAACTCTTATTAGACCCCTCAAACGCAAAAGTACATTTAGATGGGATTAAATGGAATGTATCGTCGTTGAACGTAACGTTGTGACTGCTTACCTTCACGTTTTCATGAACAGTAGAAGACATGCTAAGGGTTTGTACTTTACGCCGAACAGCCAGAGTTCGTAGAAATGTAGTAGTTCATAAATGCGAACCGAACGGAATATAGCTGTAGTTTTGTGAACGCCTTCGAGTTTGTGCTGTTGGGGATATATTTGGCCTAAAATCTAACGTATTAGTGCGAATAGCACAGACTGATACTCTTATGTATCCAACTTCAGGGGTAAAGTCCTTACTACAAACTGTTCCTGCAGAAATAAACGATCAACGTGAACGTACACCACTAACCACTGGAGGGCGCAACGCGTCCATATTTGCCTGTTTTTACAGAAGACATGCTAAGGGTTTGTACTTTACGCCGAACAGCCAGAGTTCGTAGAAATGTAGTAGTTCATAAATGCGAACCGAACGGAATATAGCTGTAGTTTTGTGAACGCCTTCGAGTTTGTGCTGTTGGGATATATTTGGCCTAAAATCTAACGTATTAGTGCGAATAGCACAGACTGATACTCTTATGTATCCAACTTCAGGGTTAAAGTCCTTACTACAAACTGTTCCTGCAGAAATAAACGATCAACGTGAACGTACACCACTAACCACTGGAGGGCGCAACGCGTCCATATTTGCCTGTTTTTATACCGTCTATGATATTTTCATGGCACACCTTTCTGCAATGACCATAACATGTCTTATGCCTCTTCCATATTATGTTTAATGACTAATGGACCGAAGTCTGTGCAACATTCTATGTCTATTCGCTGATTCCTTAAATTATCTTCCAGACCAATTGTGGAATAATTAAGTCAATGTCAATAAGTCAATGATGCTTTGTCAAATATAATGTCCAGGAAAACATCTGTAATTCTTAAGTGTGTATCTAGAGTAAAGTATGGAGGGGGGTAGTAGTAGCTGGTCTTGGCAGAGTTAAGAAACAGTGGTGTGAAGAAGAGGCCTGACGTGCTGTGATGAATACAGACATTGTTGCTCTCCCGTGTGTGTGTGTGTGTGTGTGTGTGTGTGTGTGTGTGTGTGGAACTGGAAAACTCTTCCCACAGTGTCCTGCTTGACATTAAGCAGAATCAGTCAGCTGTGACCTTACTCTGCCCTCAGAGTCCTGAGTCTTTTACCAAACAACAGCCTGTACTTTGATTAAAGGGTGGTCCAAGTATGTCTGGTTTCACCCCGTTGTAAGCAAATATCTGTGGGACGAGTCTAAAAGGCCTTTGTTGTCAAAGATGAGACATTTTCTGTCAGAGAGATGAGTCTCCAGCTCATTTCAGTGTTTGCTAGTTTGGGGTTTCATGGTATTTTGACCTTTAAAAAGCAATTAAATAAATTGTACACTCTATAACTGATGCATACGGAATACCATACTGTGAACAAAGGATGTCCTTTATGTAATTTAAAAATTACATTTCTAAAAAATGTATGTAATATTTGACTATATTAATAAAAATAAAATATATATATATTTTCCTTACTCTTTTTTGTTAATAAATGAATAATTAAATACAAATATATATTTTTTTTAAATCAGTACTAAATATGTTTTCTCTTACCTATTTCTATGTTCTCAAACAGTTGTTCTCTTATTATGTAAAGCACTTTGAATTAGGTACCACTGTGTATGAAATGTTCTATATATATGAACTTGCCAACATATGCATAAATATAGATTCTTTCAGGCCTGTTAAATGAATTGTACGCTACTAGCATTCATTCACATGCATGGCATCCAATTTGATTACTAAGTTAACCTGGCTGTTTATCAATGCTCTGTTTTTTAATCTGTGACCCTTTGTACTGTATTCTAAGTCCATGGCCACTGTACCGCAGACTGAGACATCAAAGCCAGTGTTCTCTTTGCGGCCTTTCCACCCCCCTCTGTGTTCTCTGACAAACGAATAGTTGTCAAGCTCCAAAACTTGACCTCGGTCTTGGTCCCAGACTTATTTGTTTAATTTCTGTTCCTTTTTTTGTAGTCAAGGCAAGCAAGAGGTTATTGTCAGTTCAAGCCTGACAAACATCTACACTGGGAAGGGTTTGCTGCCAGACTAAAGGTTATGAGAAGTTGAAGGAAAGGGTAATCTTTGAAAGATCAAATAAAGTGGAAGTCAGAGGAGGGGAATGTGTACAGTGTCACACAGTTGGCCTTCTCCTCAGCAAACAAAACCCCACTGTTCCCCTTTCTGTCCTACGTACATGCACACGTACAATCTCCGAGGTCTTTTTAACCTCTGCTGCCCTTTTGAACCCCTCAGACCGTCTAGTTAAAGCAAGCTATTGCAACACATTCAAGGTTGGTTATTTCCCTTTCACCACAAGAACAATGTGTACCAGGATAGCATCAGATCATGCTGTGTTGACTCACTGTGGAGGCTCAGAAGGATTATACAATGTGGTGTCCTTGAAATGAACAGAAAAACCTTTAGACCTTTAGATCAGACAGAGACATCAATATAGAAGGGAGGCAGTGTCTCCTCAAAATATTGGATGAGAAAAAAACACTCGTAGAAAAAAAAAATGTACATCAATATTACAAAATATAACATTAAATAGTATAAACCACTCGTTTTTCTAAAGAAACATTGTACAACAGTAACACCAGCAGGTAAAGTTACAGCTGAGCCCACCTCCCCTGAGCCCATTGACTTTTAACAGTCCCCTTAAAAAGCATGGGAAAGTCACGTGAGAGGAGGCAATGCCTCTATCGCAATATGATTGGATACGATATTTTCGGCTGTGATTGGTTCATGCGATAAATCCCGCCTCTTGTGTTTGTGCGAAATTCTGCATTGCGAATCAGTCTGAATGAACAATTTAAAGGCATTAATGGGAAAGATTAATTAAAAAAAAAGTAAGTAAACAACTCACACACTTAGATATAACCACTTTGTACGTCAAAATAAGACTTAAAATGGCCTGAAAACATGATCTGTGGGAGTTTTTAGTGAGTAATCACTTGGTGAAATTTGAAGTAAATCTAGTGTGACCAATATTTACTGAGCTTTGATAACTGCATTATCCGAAAAATTCAAAAATAGCTAAAGTATGCTATTAAAATGAATAGCTGAACATAAGTTCACAAACAAAATATATTGTTCACATTTTTACTGCCTTGAGTTATTATTTTGGAGTAAATGTAAAATACTTGATGAGATTCATCCATGGCTTTAAAAAATATAATATTGATTACATTGTTACATTTATTTCCTGATACTGTAAGTAATGTTTATTTAACCAAGAAAATGTGTCTGGGACATACATTTACATTTGATTAAAAAAAAACTTTTGAGGACTTTGCCTCCTCATTTCAGAACACCACCGTTAGATTCATCCCTGCACTCTTTCTCCTATTAGAAATCTGGCATATCTAATGTGAGATATATTTAAAAATATATTTATGTCATTTTCATAGGCATAACTGGGTCACATGAAATCTCTTTTATGGCTTTTCTGTTTGATCAAACATGGAATATGCATGATCTCTGTCTCTTACACCCACGCTTTAACAAAATAAGCCACATAATAAAAGACAATCAGCAAGGACATAATATATATTTCATTGCTAAATTCGTAGTAAAGATGGAACCGCCTCTATATGCGTACATGCATTCTGTGAAGTCCTTTGCTTAAGGTTACAGGGTCTGTTTAAGTGAAGACGTCAGTGATAGGAGCGCATGCATGGGCTGTAAGGGAGCCAAGAAGCCATATTTCATATGAGGAGTTCAGAGATCCATTAATCACAGGTATGATTTAGAATTCACTGCTTAAGCACAAGAGGCATTAACTATCATCAGCCAAGCACAGCATACTTTTTATGTATTGTTCCACATCAGCGGATTCATGCCAACTGTGCAACTTTCTTTGATCCATCAAAAATGCATGCAAGCTCCTGTCCAATTACGAGGGAGAGGATCTGTAAAAGAAACTCAGCAGGAATGTGAAGAGTGTCCTCCACTTGATCAGTTTTGCCGCTGCTTTACCGACCCTCCCGACAGCACTTTCCAGTTGTGTTGATGAGGTTTATCATCCCTTCCTTTACAAGCAAACTGATGCCATTTATTATGCTTTTTAACATTCAAAGCACTGTAGACAATGATTTGATCTGTTAGCTTACCCTGAAACTCCAAAAGCATTTTTGATTCACACTCATGTACAACTCAAACCTGCTTTAGCTTTAAGTTAATCCCATCAACTCTCACTTCAGCCACCCCCTACCCCCTCACTTTAACACAGACACATAAAAGAAGGTGTAGGCCTATATTATATGACCTAGTTTTGGGGGGAAACATAAAAGAAAGCTCATATTCAAAAACAGGCTTGCGTGCTTCTCCTAGCTTTGATTATTAAAACCCCTCGTGCTCTGCTGTCTGTCACCCAAATTTGTCTGCATGTCATTTTTGAGCTTTTAAGAATTTCAATATTTAGATGCAAGGGAGCAGAAGGTGAGGGAATCGCATTTCTCTCCTCCGTTTCCTGATAAAAGCAACCCTGTAGGCCCGAGGCAGGTTGTTCTTTGTAGCGGAGTGTCCCTTTCTTCCAGAATACCATTTTAGAGGCCACTGATCTGTATTGATGTTGGTCCTATCATTTCCTCTCATATATGTCACGGTGAACGACAGGAATTAAGGTCATGACTCAGGGCACAGATAAAATTTAGGTCAACAGCCAGGTTTAGTCAGCCAAAGGAAAGGTTTCCATGTACAATAAACACACTCTTAACAGATTCCTCCTAACTTTCTTTCTGCATGTAAAATAATTTTTTTTTTGCAGCCAGGGATCAAGCACAGGTCATATGCTACTTGAGACATAAATCAGGACAGTATAGTAAGGTGGAAAAAAAACATTGCAAGACATAAACAACAGGTTAATTCTGATTCAGAACTTTATTCGAAATCTGTGCAAGTAAACACCCAAATGAAATGTATTTTTAGAAATAATGATACACAATAATACTCAAACGTATCGCAGTTAACCTGCATCAAAACAATATTTCAAAACCAACAGAAGTCTTTGAAGTGTCAGTGTAATCCATCTTTGTACTGTACAGTACGGAACATGATTGTTTAACCTGTTTGGTTTTCTCCTTGTAAAAAATAAAATTGAGTAAAAACAATAAATATCTTCATATGCACATTTGTTTCAAAATTTTAAACATTTTGCCCAGCGGTCTATTTCTCATGACATACAGATCACATTTTTATGAATTGGGCTCCATGACAAAATATATATATATATGCTTAAGACTTTGAATTTCCCCATGTTCAGTAATACA